TTTTGAAATGTAATGATATGAAAACTTTTGGATATCTGCTCAACAAAACGCTGCTTCAGATAATGCACCAACTGTTGTCAATGAGGAGTCCAGAGGGAAATGTTATTGAGGAATTTATTTTAAAATTACCTTTAAAGAAATTAAATTGAGAAAAGTTACAAGGCATTTCATTTTTAATTATCTTCTAGTTGATAAAGAAAATATTTACAACCAGAACCTTCAAAATTTTATATTGGAATTTTGCATGATACATTTATGCTTTTTATTAGTCTTAACACATAACTCAGACTAGAAAATTGAGCATTGTATTTCAAATGGGCTTCCATATACACATGCATATATATTATGTAGTAGAGAAGGGGAAAATTTTTCTAGAAGTTTTATGAGTAGCTTTTGGGGAATATTGAAGGATGAAGCCATTAGAAATAACTTAGTCAAAACTTTGCCTCCTCTAAAGCAATGTGTGACTTTGGCTAATATTTATATTTTACTAAAAGGCCTCTATTTCCCTTTTCATTCTGCAAGACGTTCCTTCTGTAGAAGTGGGGGGACGGTAAAGTGTGGGCTAATAACTCATTTCCCAGTTAATTTTATTAAGAATTTATAGCACTGTTTAGAAAGTTTTAAGACAACCATAAATTTTATTAGGAATATTTTATTAAGCCCTCCATTTAATTAATAAAAGACCTCTATAACTTCTGAAAATGTCAGAGCTAGTAATTATGTTAACCAGTGTAATTTTTCCCCCTCTAGAGACCAAAGCATTTTAATGATTTGAAATAGAGAGGTAGTAAGGAAAACAGCCTCTCCTCCCCCCTTCCCAAATTTTTTCCTTAACTTTTGCATTATCCAGTCAGAATATAGTGACTTAGGTATTTTCCCTGAGAAGATTGGAGAGCCTAGGCTGACCTCTCATTGACTTCTGAACTGGACCCAGACATTCTTTGTTTTCTGAAGCAGAATGCAGTAAACAAATCTCCCAGTTCTTATAGCCAGGATTGCTTCGGGGGCACTTGCTTAACGTCTTCCCTAATCCCCTTGGTTAACCCCCTTTCATATCACCTAACTGGGTTTCTCCCTTTTATAGACCTCTAAATAGTTTATTTCACTTTTCTCACAGCCGTTCATTAGCTTTGACTTCTTGGTGCCTTTCTCATATCACATCTAGTCTCTTATCTCCAGCATTCCTCTATTATCGCTAGTAGATTTTAAATCTATTTTCTTTAAACTGTCTTTCCCTCCTCTTATTTCTGTTTTTTTGAAATGCAAATGTTAATGTGGGGGCGAGATGCAGAGGCCGAATGTTCTTGAAGTACAAACCCCAAGCCTCCACACCACAGGACAACCTAAAGAGCAATCACAGCCTTTTAACAGACATCTTCAAGTTAGGTGGCAGATGATAAACCCTTATCATTCTGTGAACACAGCTGCCAAACTCGATTGATTAACAGGCTTTTGTTTATTCTGGGCTGGCAAATACACACACATTTTACCTTAAGAGGTGCCTCTTTAATTTCTGAGGGTTTTGGAGCTGACTCATCAGCGAGAACTTTGAGGACAAAAGCCTAATTCAGATTTTAGGTCTTTCCAAAGGCACAATTCTTTCTAGGAGAACAGAAAATTAGAGGGGAGTTCTCCAAGAGGACTGTACCAACAGCCTAAAGGGGCACTACTTGCTTCAAATGCCTCCTTGCAGAAGGGCCCAAACAATAGAGACCTAGGCCCAAGCCTGCCGTTTTCAAGTCCTGGTTCTCTATCTTTGGGAAGATGCTCTGGGATATAAAGGGTAAGCTGAATATGGAAGGCCCATAAGAGCTAGGGGCAAGTGCCAGAACCCTTTGCCAGGCCAAGGTTTGGCAAAATAAAAGTACTATTGCCTTATAAAGCAAGTCTCTGAAATAAGCTAAGGATAGGTGCTGTCACAGAAGAGCTATAAATGTCTGTAGTCATTTACTAAGATACCTATCCATCCCTTTACCTTTTCTTTTTAATAGATGATTAATTGCTGCCCTGCTAAAGGAGTTTTGGTGGTTTTTTTTTTTTTATGGCTACTGTATTGCAACTCTAGACGTCCTCTGTGCAGTTTCTCTCAGCAAGCCCCAACTGTAATAACTGTTTGCTAATTGTAAAATCCTTATCCAGAATGAGGTTTGGGCAAACAATTTGTACTACTGTAATTACATTGTAAAAGTGTTTCAGTCCCTTGATTGTTCAGAATTAATCTTACAAAGGCCTAGGAGTAGCATTAGGTTCACAGTTATAAATGGAAAGGGGGAGGGAAGGAAGACAGAAGCTACTTTTCAAAACTCCTAAGAATTTATTTTAAGCCCACAAACTCGAACTCTCTCTTTCTATAAGAAAAACTTGTGTGTAGGTCATTTCAGTACATTTATAAGGTAATCTGACACATTGTGGTTGAAGCCACAATAGTCCTCCTACCACTTTGAAGTTTTTAGTTTGAAAAGGAGTCGCTTACCTGAACCTTCTTTTTTGCAGCTCTGCTGAAAAAAAAAAAAAAAACACGGAAAAATTTACCGGAAAGCAACAGTACAAACTAAATTCTGTGGTCAAAGAAATATATATCAAAACTGGGCTTTTCCAAATTTGCAAACGTGGCCGCAGAGTGGAGGTGACTCCGCGCCGGTTACCTAGTAAGTCTGCCGCAGAACCCCTACGACTGTTAAAAGACTAGGGTCATCGAGATGTATTTCGCAGTAAATTTCTCTCAGTTAAATTATACTTACACAATTTCCCTCGCAGTTCATTTAAGGATCGTAAACGTAGATGTGCCCATGACGATGTTTGGCTTGACCCCCCTCCTGCCTTCCCCCACCCCTGCCTCCAGCCGCGCTGATGCCTGGAGGGCCTGCTGGAGAGAGCACTCACACCCCCGCGAGCAGCCGTCGGAAGGCGCTCAGGTGTCGGCCGCACCCTGCTGGGGTTCGGGGAAGGGTTCGCAGGCTGCCGGCCCAGTTTGATGCTCTCCATAATCGGAAAAGGATTGCGCTGCCGGGCCCAGCCAGCGCAGCTTCCCGGGAATTAAAAAGCGTTTCTCTGCCTTCCTGAGACGGGGAGGTTCCATCTTGGCCTGAAGTTCTGTTTCCAAGTTCACGTTGGGGTTGGGGGGGGGGGGGGTTGTCAAGCAGTGGCGTAAAGGCGCTGGTAATTCACCTTGATTCCCTGGGCTTTGACACGCCGGCCTGCCTTAACCTCCTGCGTGATGTATCGGGGCGTTTGTACCAGAAGACTCTACACATGTTTGCGATGAAGAAAAGTATGAGATCCTACATCCTGGGGAAGGGGGGCAGAGGAGGAGGGAGAGGGAGAGAAAGGAAAAGAGAGAGAGATGCAAATGATGAAGGATCCTAATATGAATTTTTTAAACAGGGGAGCTCTTTCAACGCAAAGCACATCCGAAGGCTTTGGGTGAACGCGTCAGTCCTTTAGCCACACATGGGGCCAGCAAGGCGCTGGGGCCGAGGTGGGTGCGGGAGGCTGGGAAGGCTTAGCTTTATGAAAACTCCACTATCAGGGAGAACTGGGCGTTGATTCGTGCGAAGTACTAAAAGAAGCAATAGATGTCGCTAAGGGAGGCTACTTGCGCTGGGGGGAATCTGATTCTAGTCTCTGTTCTGATGCTTGCCCTGTGTCCCCTGCTACTCGAAAGCGCACTTAGAAACCTGAATCCTACCTCTCGGACTGATGTAAATTCTGTTTTAGTTTGCGCACTGAGTTGGCCTCAAGACATTTTAGAGCGGCTAACCTTTTCCAAACAATCTCCGTGGACTGGAGGCCCCTAACCTTTCTCAAGTCCCTTCCCCCTACCCACACCCCTCTTTGGGTGAGGATTCGGTCCGCTGCTGGTGGGATGGGGGTGGGGACGATGGGAGCGAGGGGCCGGCTGCTTTAGGGGAGTCAGCCTTTTGGCCACTTTCAGGGCGGGAATCGGGACTGGCAGTTTGCATTCCCGGCAGATCGAAGCTCCCTGCTGATCGATTATTTGATAATTGATTTTCCCCGCAGCCAATGCGCGGCCGCCTTGACGGGAGCGCCTCCTGATTGGCCGAGCCCTCCTCCACGGCTGCCTACCGAGATTTGGGTGAGCTCATTTTCCAGTCGACCGCAGGGGGAGTTTTCTGCGAGGTTTCAGCTGGAGGGAGGAAAAAAAATCCCGCTCCGAGCCGAGCGAGCTGCGAGCCCTGCTCCGGGATGTGAGATTTCTAGCCCGCGTCGAGCTGCTGCGGCTGAGCCATCTCGGCACATCAGAGCCGGACGGGCAGAAAAATAAAAACGAAATAACACCACTAAATATAATAATGAAGGGCAAGCTTAGAGTGAGAGAATAAAGAAAAGGAATTTTTTTTGTTGTTTAAGCCAGAGAATAGGTATTTAAAGGGAGAAAGTTAAAATCAGTGGCTGGTTGGAGCCTCTGAGCTGAGGGTAGGGGCAGCTTTTTGTCTGAAATCTCAGCTCCCGAAGTGTATTTCCTTTTCTTTGGCCCTGGGAGTTTGCCCTGAGCTGAGTTGGGGACGGGAAAGCGGGAAAGGGCTGCGGGAGAGAGCTTGGGGCGTCGCCAGGGAAAGAGCTGGGGGCGTGTGGTCCCTCCAGGCCCGAGCACAGCCGAGGCCGGAGCCCCACGGCGCCTCGAAGACAAAGGCGGCGCGGCCGTAGCCCGAGCTGAGAGCGCCGACCCCGCCGCGCCGCGCCCTGGGCGCACGGCCGCCTCGCCCGGAGCGGGTCGGAGAAAGAGCCTGCCTCTCCGGGGCTCCGCTGCCCCGGCTCCACCCGCGAGGTCTGGGCTGCTCCGAGCCCGCGTCGGGTTTCGCTTTCCGGCGATCATAAATAGCTTCGTGTTTGTAAACAGGCGCTGGGGGCACATTCCCGGCTCTCAGCTCATTGTTCCCTCCCTTCCTCTCTCACTTCGCGCAGGACGCCGGGGCTGGGGCTGGGGGCCTCCGGGGCTAGAAGGTGGGGGCGTCCAGACGCTAAAGTGGGAAAATGCAAGCATTTCCTTTCCTTGAGCCGGGTGTCCACTTCTGACAGCAAAAAAAACTCTAAGCTCGATCTGCAGAAAGCCCCAGCCATCTCTACCCAACGTTCTCGGGACTTCTTGGCAGAGCCTTTCCCAGCCTTGCTCCTGCTCCTCCTCCTCGCTCCGGGTTTGACTTTTCTACTTGGGGTGTTTAGTTCTGAGAATCCAGTACTCGCCGCATTACCCCCCTCCGCCCCGAAAAATACTGGCAGACCCCAATAATCTCGAGGAAAGTCGTGAAGTCTATGCGCGGAGCCCTGTGCAAAATAACTCCCGCTGCTGCCTGCCCCGCGTTTATTCCCAATTTATTTCAAGAGAGTCGGTTTGGGGAGAGAGTCTGGCGGGGGAGGGAGAGAATAGAATAAGGAAAATAAAGCCGGCGGTTAGGGGCTGCTGCCCGCATTTGTGCGCGTGTGCCCTGGGTGTGTGTGTGTTTGTGCCTGGGCGTGCGATTTCATGGAGCGCCTCTCTGCCTCTCCAGTGCGGCCAGAGCTCGCTTCGCTCACCCACCCCTGCCGAGGAGCCTACTTGCTGCAGCCCAATGCATTGTGTAAGACGCGACCTGTTATGGCCACCACTACTTCCGGGTTCTAGCATTCTGGTCGGAATCCACCTCTCCGCCTGTGCAACACACACTTTACACACGCACGGGGACTGCAAGCGGGCAGCATCGATCGTGGCTCCTTTAAGACAAACTCAGACAGACATTTTTTTTAACCCTCCTCCTCTAATCTCCCTCCAGTGCAGCAGTTGCAAAGAGGGAGAGAGAGAAAGAGAAAGAGAGAGCGAGCAAGAGAAGAAACTGATTAGGAATTAGGACTGATTCAAGGGAAGGGAGCGCTAGGCTTTGTGCATTTGAATATTAACATTTGAGGTGTTCTGACCAGAAGAAGACAGAGCGGATGATCATTCATTCACCACGTTGACAACCTCGCCTGTGATTGACAGCCGGAGTGGCAGAAAGCCATGAGATTTGGTAGTTGGGTCTGAGGGGCGCTCTTTTTTTTTTTTTAAACTGATTTTTTGGGGAGAGAAGATCTGCTTTTTTTGCCCCCGCTGCTGTCTTGGAAACGGAGCGCTTTTATGCTCAGTGACTCGGGCGCTTTGCTTCAGGTCCCGTAGACCGAAGATCTGGGACCAGTAGCTCACATTGCTGGAGACGTTAAGGGATTTTTCGTCGTGCTTTTTACATTTTTTTTTTCCGGGGGAGTTTGCGTATTTGTTTCTTTTCACACTGGCCTTAAAGAGGATATATTAGAAGTTGAAGTAGGAAGGGAGCCAGGGAGGCTGATGGCGCAAAGGGTACGTATTAAAAAACAATTGTGGAACTCAAATGTGAGATTAAATTGAAACGTGACTGAAAGACACTGCTAAAAAGTTTCCTTTTTTCTCTCTGTCTTTTTGAATGAGGCTCCTAAAGCCGTGGCCTAAAGCGAGAGGATTTATTCAATGCATTTGTAGACTTATGTATGTTACATGTAATTGTTAATTCAAGTGATCAAGTTTTCTATAGATTCCTAACCAGCAGCTATATAAATAAAAATACAAGCTCGGGCAATCATCTGTTTAGAAAACAAAAACAAAAAACGCTAGATGCCTAATGCTATAATGGGAGCTTGCAGGGAGCAGAAGTTTAAAGCTATTTTTAAACTAAAATAAGCAACTAGAAACTTCTGATACGTTATTGATTATGCTCATCCTTAATATCATTAGAAGTATTTGGCTTTTTAAGCAGATAACTTTGTCATAGTACAATGGTTTTTGGGGTTGGAAAACATTCATCTTTTAAAAGTAATTTTAATGTGCATGGATTTTTATGCAAGATAATACTTTGAAAGTTTTTCTTAGAAAAGCCCGCACTAATTGGATCCTAAGCACACAGCTACCCACTTTAAAAATGCAATACTAATTTCCCCAATATTCCTATTTGAATGGAAATGTAGTGAGAGTAAAATGAGACAATGACAACCCAACTGAGGTAGTTTCTTAAAAGAAAGGGAGTCTACAAAAAGCCTTCCTTGCATAATTTGTGTCCTGGCCCTCAAAGCTCTGTTTGCAAAAGAAAGTTACTAGGCTGACACATTTTTTTTACTCCTTTGGTTCAGGCAAATGTCAGCGTTCTTCCAAACTCCTTTCACACCTCTGGCTTTAAGGAGATGAAAGTGGCAATTCCTCTTTTCTTTGAAAATCATTTCACTCTGGGTGCCTCCAAATCTTGGGAAAAGAACTTGCCTGGAATGAAGCAATGAGAAAAATCTAAATGGCTAAATTTCACACGCAGAAATACTGACAATCAATTTGAAAGTAGTTTTTCTGGAGGAGGAAGATGGTGGGTTGTATGTGCATTTGCTTCTGAATTTGCTTTAAACCTGATGAGTAACATTTGCCTCATTGACTTCTAGTCTGGGGAGAAAGTTCATAAGAGTAGAAAAAATGGAATAACTGCTCCAACTATAGATTTTCTTTACCTTTGGGGGAAAATTGCCCAATTCTAATTTCAGGTCTAATGTACAAGAAAACCTACCCTTCTCTGAGTTTCACTTAGAAGGGGGCCAGTTAATTTTGTATAATTTAGCAGAGTTTGTCTTGGAAAGCAAAGGAAATGCAGTGTCTTGCAGGATTGCCTAACCCCTCAGCTGGCAGAGAAATAAAATGAGAACCTGTCTGAATTCACGTGCTTGGCGTAGCTGTTCCCATCGTAACTTTTTTTTTTTAATTCCCCCCGATGGGAAGGGGCTGTGAAACTGGGCGGGTTTGCTGCCCTGTCCTGGCACGTTTTATTATTGTGATTTTGAATTTCCTCCTCTAGAGACATGCACGTTTTACCTTCCGCCCTCCGCGAGTGAATGCCTCCCTTTCTTTCCTTCTTTCTTCCTTCCTTCCTTGCTCAATTTCTGAACTACTTGATAGGAACGCAAGTTAGGGCAAGACCATTCATCCTAGTCGAGTCTCACTGAGAATCCTAGAAATTTTACTTTAAAAACTGTTTTTGAAATAAGAAATCTTAACTTTAGAGATGCAAGGCCACTGAATTCCGGGTCGAAGGATCCGGCTGGACTGATATTATATAAGCTCCGCGCTCTGCCGCTCTCCCATTTGCCCGCCCGGCCTTCTAAACCTTGTTTCTCTCCTGTTTGTCATGCAGTACGACGATCTACCCCATTACGGGGGCATGGATGGAGTAGGCATCCCTTCCACGATGTATGGGGACCCGCATGCGGCCAGGTCCATGCAGCCGGTCCACCACCTGAACCACGGGCCTCCTCTGCATTCGCATCAGTACCCGCACACAGCTCACACCAACGCCATGGCCCCCAGCATGGGTTCCTCCGTCAATGACGCTCTAAAGAGAGATAAAGATGCCATTTATGGGTAGGTACAACGGGCAGCAGGTTAAGTAGTTGAACTGCGATGCTTCCTCTATTTCCCTTTGCCCTTGTTAGAGGAAAGCCAGAGCTCTTTGGGTTGGAGGTGCGTTATTGGGTGACTTTTCATTCGCATTGCATGGAGAATTTGGGGAGGCGGCCTGCCCTCCCGGCCGCTCCCCATCTCCACACACGCTCGGCGGCCGTCCAGCGCCCTGCTCCGCCGTAGCTGTGCCCGCGAAGGGGTCGCGGTATGGAAGCTGCCAAAGGTCCCTCGTCCCCTCTCAGACCCCAGCGCGATAGCTCAGCGGGTTGGTGTCCTCGCTTGCTCAGCTTCGCTGGGAGAGCGTTGAGGGTTTCTAAAAGCAGGAGCCTTTGTGTTGGAACGAAACTTTTAGTTTAAGGGAAAATCTTTTAAGCCACTGATTGTTCTGACTTGCTAAGTTTACTCAGCAACCGTATGCTGGCTCTGCCACCGCACAATAAAATCGAGGAGGACAGTTGCAGGTCAGGCAAGGGGGAACATGCTTTGCATTTAGAGAGTTTGGCCACTGTAGTCAAGGAGAGGGGCTCGCTCTGAATTGTTACAGGCATTAAGAAACTTCTAGCCGTTTTAGTACTTGTGTTCAAAGGCGAAACTTGCAGGATTTAGACAGAAGTAGATGCCGGGTACTCTCGGGCCCGTGCTCTTTTCTGGCTGCGGTTTACACCGTGTTCCCGCCAGCCGTTCGATTAGACCCTGGACTCGTAAAAGCCTTGGAAAGTTACTTGTGCCTACTGTGTGCTGATGAATTTGGGGACCTCTTTTTACTTTGTAGCAACTTTTATTTCTATTTATTTCTTCTTTTGAAAAAAAAAATCGCGCGACACTGACCGTCCCCGGCTGAAAATCCTTTCTGCTTTATTTTCTGGTCCCTTGTGCAATGGACTTGTTTAAATCCTGGCGTTCTTTCCGCAGCGTTAAGTGCAAATGGTTTAGGCTCCGGGACAGAACATTTGGGGAAGCTTTGAAAAGGACCCCAAACTGTTAAATTCCCAGCTGGGCTATGAGAGCTAATAAAAGACTTGAGACACCTCCTTGGACATTAGAAGAAGCTTTTTTTTTTTTTTATGGGCTGAGATAAGCGACATCTAGGCCCCTCGCTATATTCGCTGCTTTGCTGTTCCGCAGAGACAAAATGAAAGGCTTTACCGCAGGAACATTTGAAGGAACTTTCTTTTGGAGGTGGTGGGGGCATCGGCGAAGGAAGGGAAGTGTGCAGGGAGCCAAGGCCCAGCTTTCCTGCTCTGCGAGGGCCGTGGGGTCGGGGTCGGTAGGTGCAGCCCCCTGACAGTAGGTCCCGCAGCCATAGAGGTCCTTTCCCCAAGTTAGCTGAGCGCCTGCCACCGAGATCCCCTGAGCCTTGGGCTCGGCGAGGCTGCCTGGAGGAACCCACTTGAACGGGCTTTCCCAGCCCCTGCGCCCAGCGCCTTTCTCCTCCACCAGGTCCTGGATGTGCAGCAGAGGGACGAGGGCTTGTCGGGGTGGGAAACTTAATTCAAAATGGCTGCTGGAACCGCTTGGGTTTTCTTCTTAGCAAATGTTACCAATTTCTCCGGCCAGATATGCTGAACCGATTCTCAGATACGGTCCACGGCTTAGGGCCTCCGACTTGGGGGCCCTAGGAGGAAAGGGAAGTGAGCAGTCACCTGGGTGGGGGAGGGAGGGAGAAAGTAGATGAGAAAATCAGAGAGAGGGTCCCTGCCTCGAGCTCCTCCCGCTGTTTTTCTTGGGCACCTTTTTTCACTGACTCGGGACTAACCATTGTGTTGTTTGTGACTGTTGTATTTTCTTGCAGACACCCCCTCTTCCCTCTCTTAGCACTGATTTTTGAGAAATGTGAATTAGCTACTTGTACCCCCCGAGAGCCGGGGGTGGCGGGCGGGGACGTCTGCTCGTCAGAGTCATTCAATGAAGACATAGCTGTGTTCGCCAAACAGGTCAGCAAAATAAATGTTTAAAAAGTAAAAGAAAAGAAAAAGACCCCCCCACCACACACACACACACACACACACACACACATCCCCAACACATTTTCAAAAGCAACCAGCAATAGTCCACCCTAAGCCATGTCTGTTACACCTACCCTGAGATTTTCCTCCTCTGAGTGTCTGTTTGCGGACGACTTAAAATCGGTCATGTTCTTCCCAACTCACGCTCCAGAACATCACGCGGAAAGCTCTCTCTATAGAATAAAATCACAAACACCACGCGCGGTAGCTGCCTTGGACTTGGAGAGCTGGGCAGCGTCCTCTAGAAGCGTAGCTGCTGGTAGATGTCACCCTGAGCTCTGGGCTTGTTTTCGGCTTATCTGATTCAGATTGAAGTGTTTCTGCGCGGGACGAACTCGGTGTCACCGAGTCCCTCCCGGAGGTTACATCCTGCCCCCCCGACAGTGTAATGAGGCAAGAAACTAGGAAGGCGACCAGGTTTCAAATTTTTCTTTCTTTTTTCCCCCCTCCCTCTCCCTTCTCCTTCTCACTTGTATTTAGATTCGCGCAGAAAAACCTCTATTTTCTTCTAATCCAGAACTGGATAACTTGGTAAGAGCGGACCCCTTACTCCCCTCCCTCATCTCCCCTCCCCACAAACCTCCCCAGCTTTGCTTAGAGAGCCCTGAGATTTCTAGACGGGTCCTCCCATAGCTGCAAGTCGGCTGCAAATGTTTCCGTCCATGGACAAGTGGTCCGGGACAAGATCCCGGGGAAATAAATTCATCTCGAGAGGGGCCGGGCGGGCTGGCGCGGGGAAACGCGAGCTTTTGTTTTTTATGACAGCCGGGCAGCGCAGCTCTAATCAGCGCGGGGATTTATCTCCCGGCCTGTCAGCGTGTGTGCTTAAACTTTGCGGACTTCCCAGCCCTCAAAGTCGCGTCACCAGGGCAGCGACCGGGCGAGAGGCCCCAAACAACCAGTTCGTCTGAAAGGTGTGCCGAAGGCAGCAGAAAGTTTGCAGTGTGCAAAGCCACAGTTTGGGGACTATTTGGAGTATTTTCCATGCACTCCTTCCAAGGAAACATCTAGTCCAGGGATGTGGCCCTTTGGGGGTGGGGTGGGGCCTGTGGGGCTCAGAAAGGGGAGAGCCATGGGGAAGGAGAGTGTTTATGATCCCCACTTATCTGCTTTGTTGTTGTTTTAGCTATTTTTTTCTCCTTAAGAAATATAAACCTCTAGATGGTACCCAGTTGCTGCTATTAAGTTTTAGTGTTATTGCCATAAATCAAAATAACTCTATTTACTGGGGGGAAGAGGTGGGCTGGAGATGCTAGAGCTGTGACAGCCAATTTTCTGCAAACTAGGAATGGGGTGCTCATTCTTTTTGTATCTTTGCAGATGATTCAAGCCATACAAGTATTAAGGTTTCATCTGTTGGAATTAGAGAAGGTAATTTCTCTAGCCTCTTTTCCTTTTGCTTCCTCCTCACCCCCAAACACATGGGGTGGGGGGGGCGAGGGTTCAGAATGACTGAAGTTCAAACTTCTGAGATATTTGCATAAATGTCTTTTTTTCTGGTAATTAGTGTCAAGGCCAATCTTAGAGTCCATTTCTCTTTGCAGTTTAATTACAATTTCAGCCGCTAAAACTGGAATCACAAACGCCCTAGCCTTGTATTCATTCTTAACACCTTGCTGGCTTTGTATAAATAGTTGCAATTCCCTGAATCACCCTTGATGGTTAGAATGTGTTGTGAGTTTGCATCACGGTTGCCTTTGTGGTCTCTTCTCTTCCTCTTCTTTGCTACCTCTGGGGGTAGGGGGGAGTTTTGTTTAGTTTTGGTGACTTTCTGGAAGACAGTCTGAGAGCAGCGGCAGGTCAGACACAGAGGAGAGGCGGAGGGAGAGGAGGAGGAGTCTGGAGGAGGTTGGGAGGAAGCACATTAAACGTTTTGCAGAGACAAAGCAGAGTTGATAGTTGTGTCAATTTCTTGAATCTGCGGATCCTGCACACACCCCACCTTCACACTCAAGAAAGAGTGTGGGATAACATGATTTTGCTAGCTATTCTATAAATCTCAGCAATAAAAACTTAATGCATTGTAATTCAAACTAACATTAAATTGCAAGCACACTGGGGTTTCTTGTGAATTTGTGCATGTCAGTGATGCCTGAGGCCTGTAAGAGACCCCTCCACTTACACCAAAATAGCTTGATGAGTTCTTATTCCTTTTTTAAAAACAAAATCAATTTGATACATTTTTGTGACTCGGTTTTTTCATATCGTAAGTATTGGCAATTTGATTGCCTTCTAATTTTTAAAGGAAGTATCCTAAAATATGCTTCCTATGGATAGAATATCTAATTACAAATGTTGTAGAAACATGTTTTGTCAGGCACATATCCTATGCCTGCAGAATGCTGCTCCTTTGGAGATATACGTATGTGTATACACACACAAACACACACACACACATATATACAGTTTTTTCCTTAGACACATTGGAAAAGGACTTATGATAAAGTAACTGGGTGAAATTAAATAGTTTACCTTAAATGTCACCCACGCAGGTCACCTCTCTAATGGCCACAGCCCCGGGAGCAGATGAATTTAACACGGGTGTTGAATATGTTGTAGCTTGTGAATCATCTTGTCACTGTCAATTTTCTGGGATATCTCTATTTTGCAAGAAAAGAAAGTTATTCCTAATTCTGGATGCGTCTGGGGGTCTCTGAAGGACAATTGCCCTGTGTTTCCCCTATTTGGAAGTTTGGGTGTCACAAGGGGGGTGGGTTGCACTTGTCAATACCATTTATGCACTCCTGATTATATTTCCATTTTTTTATTTCTGTCATAATGTAGGTACACGAATTATGTGACAATTTCTGCCACCGGTATATTAGCTGTTTGAAAGGGAAAATGCCTATCGATTTGGTGATAGACGATAGAGAAGGAGGATCAAAATCAGACAGTGAAGATATAACAAGATCAGCAAATCTAACTGACCAGGTATGCGCTTTTCAATTTCAACATCCCTGGGAAAAAAAATCTCTATGCATATTGCTTGCTGGGTCACTACCACCTCCTTTTATTATTTGCATATGATTAAGTCCCTTTTAGATACATTTCCATCGAAATGAAAATTTTTGAATAATGTGGCTATTATTGCTTCATTAAGGCTGGCTCTGGGATTCGACCTGGAGAGATGAGCTTGTAAAAGCTTTGCCTGCAAACTTGACCTGTTTCTTGTCGCTTTTAATTTTTGTCTTTATTTTATTTACCCTCTATAATAATGGGAGTGTTAACTGCCAGTGACCGCCTCTGATTGCAGGGCTTTGTTCTGGAGTATTTTTTCCCCCTTCTCTCTGGAAGAAAAGAAAAGTGTAGGGTCTGCTTATTTCTTATTTTATTAGGAATAAACCCAAGATAGGTGGTCTAAGAGAGACAGCGAGGGTTTGAAATCTAGCAAATGCTGGCTATTTTCTCCCTGTCTATACGGTTCATTAGCCTGTCTTGTCAGTTTTCCTCGGCCGAACGCTTCTAGACCTCACTGAACATTGCTTTGTGCAGCGCTCCTGCAAGCTCGCCCATTTTATTGTACTTAATAGAAAAAAATAAGACCAGGCCGAGGTTATAAAAACAGATAAATATGGACGTTTCTCCTCCTCCTTTCCACTCATCCTCCAGCTGGTACGTGCTCTGGGCCCTCTGGGTTGGCAGCTTTCGGAAGCGTCAGCGTCACCAGCACCCCGGCGACTCCCTCGGTTTGGCGGGTGGGGGACCTCGCGCCGCCTTCGCTCTCCGCTGCTGGCCTCTGCTGCCTTCGCCCCCTCCTCTCGCGTCCTCCCTCCAGGCCCTTCTTCCGCTGCGTTGCTAAGTGGGGACGACTTTTATTTGGAGTTGCTGGGGGGATTTCTCTCCCTCTCTCACCCCAACACCGCTGTTTGCTCCCAGTCTCTCTCTCTCTCTCTTTCTCTCCTGTCGCTGTGTCTCTGGACTGGTCCAAAGGAGTTGCAAAAATGCAATGAAAGTGAAAACGTGAGGAGTGGGTGAGATAAAACAGGGTTCAGGATAGCTCTCGGTTGCGAATTGTTGCAACGCGTCGAGAGATCGGGTTGGGGGCCTCCTCCGCGTCGCCATATGTAAGTGAAGGCCCAGAGTTGTTTCTCTTTCTGACTTGGCACGTGAGTCCCGTCTTGGGGGAGAGATCAGCCTGCCTTTGTTAAGCCAAAGGACGGCCAGTCTGCAAAGTTTCCCTTCGGAAGCTCTGCCATGATCACTGTTGGCCAGCGGCTATCTTACCAGAGTCTTTGCCCGAGCGCCGGACTCCTCGGTCTTAGTGTCATCTTAAAGTTTTCCTCTCTCAACATCACCCCACTCCCCCTTAAAATGAATTCCCAGCTTGGATGTTTCTGGGTAACCCCGCGACAGCGGCTAAATTCCTCCTTTCCCACGAGGAGTGGAGGGCAGGCAGAGCTGAGCTTTAAAAGCGCCAACACGCCGGGTCCTCACTATTATTTGGCAAGTTGTAAACTTTCGGCAGTGTAGACGAGTGCACAGAACAGACAGCTTGCGCAATCCTGACGCGGCCCTGTCGAGGTGGGGAACCTGCCGGCGGCTCCGGCCCCGGCCCCGGCCCCGCGGCCTTCCTGCCGGCGCAGCCCGCCAGCCCTCGCCCCAGAGCTGTTAAATGCAGATTCCTCTGCGGAACCCTCGGGTAGGGTAGCTGCTGTTGAATAAAAACTATAATCCAACAAGCCTAACTAGAAAATGGGATTCTAAAAGCTCCGGAGTGCTGGGTACATAAAGCTATTTGAGCAAATTACAAGAATCGCTTAGGGGCATGAATGAAATCAACACTTTAATTGCCTCCAAAATGAAGATTTATACCCCCTTTTCTCAACGAATCATTATTTTATTAAAGTCAAAGATAAAGGACCAAAGTTATGGGGTCTTTGGGAGGGGGATACAAAATTGATAAAACATCGAGTTCCCCCCCTACCCCTTCGGTGAACTTCTGTTACCCAATTACCTTAATTTGAGATATGCAGATCGGTAGGCAATTGTATTGGGTGAAAACTCGCATTTTATTCTCCTCCCTCACCTATAAAAAGAGAAGCGCGCATCCCGCCCCCGCCGTTTACCAGTGGGCTTCGCAGCTTTGGCTGAGCTCGTGGTGCAGTCGGCCTATGCGCGTGGGCGCGCTCGCTCTACCCCTCGGGCTCCCCCAGGTCTCAGTTGGTCCGAGGGCAGCGAACCCAAGTGTGTTCTAATTGTCCGCTTCCCCGGAGCCAGGAGCGAGTGTGCCCGGGCTCCCTTTGGAGCGGGGAGCGCAGGGCGCACGCGGGACTGTGCCTCAGACGCGGAGTGGAGTCCCCTGTCCAGGGAGGTGGGGAGCTAGGGACAAGGCACCACGACTACCCCGTGGGCGCCAGGTCTCCAAGCTGGAGCCTGCTCGCCCGTCCCCGGGGACGCTGGATCCCTAGTGCGGCGCCCTGGGAGCCAGGCCCAGAAGGGACGGCCTCGTCACCTGTCTGCGAATGCAGCCCAGCCAGTTTGAGCCCGGGCCCAGGGTGCGCTACGAGACTGGATGCTTCAGGTGTGGTGCGAGTGCTGGGCCTCGTTAGCTCATTAACCCCTCTGTCTCTAGGGCCTGCTGGCGGCACGGCGTATTTTATTTTACTTTTTTTTTCCTCGGAGAGAGCGAAGGCTGCCAGCCGCGCAGGGACCTGGGATCGACGACTTTGATACCAGCCGGTTTCCCGGAGGGCTAAGTCGGCGGAAATCCACTTGGCCTTGTAGTGTCGTTGGTTTGGGGTTTTTTGTTGTTGTTGTTTGTTTTGTTTTTATCAGATTAAGATCCCAAAAGAAGCCGTGATCCTATTCTCCCCCATCAAGTCCTCCCCCCATTCCCAGGCCGCGAGGTCCCAGGCCCGAGACCCACCTCCTGCGGGCTCAGGCCTCCCGGGCGCCCTCTCCTGACCGTCGCGCTCCGGGTCCCGCACCGACGCTCCCGACGCCCCGGACTGGGGGCGGCGAGAGGCCCCGGGGGCTTCCTGGCCACGGCTTGGACGGGGGCCGGGCCGCGACCTGCGAGCCAGACGTCGAGGCAGGGGTTGAGCCTGGTTGGCAATGGGGAAGGTCGCGGGTCCGAGGGGAGGCGGGGCGCGTGTTTGCCGGGGCCTAGGGTGGAATTGGGGGCGCCAGGAGGGTTTAGGCGGAGAAGAGCCTGGCCGCCCAGACCCTAGACTTTAGGCCACTCTCCAGGAAGCAGCCGTCGGATGAAGCCTTCCTTCCCAGGGCAGTCTGTTGCTCGCCACTCCTGAAATCTAAGCATTTTCCACTCCAAGAACGGGTCGAGACCGAGTGGAGAGAGGAGCCAGGAGTCTCCGGGTCCCTAAGGCCGCCTCCCGGGGTGGCCACGCCTGCTCCTAGTGATCGGGGACTAGCAGGGCCTGTGCTCAGGCCCCAGCCCGCGTTCTCTCACAAGCAGCGCAAGGCAAAAAAATGGTCCCCTTGGATTACAATTTTTATTCAACAGCAGCTCTCCGGGGGGTCCTCGTCTGAATCTACATTTAACAGCTCCTGGGCAAGGCCTGGGAGGCTGCACAGGGCGCCCTGTTGCATGTTAATCCAGATTTGTCTCTGACATCTGGGGAGAAGTAATGTGGCTCGAAGAGATGGAACCAGAAAGCCACGCTCGCCAGGCAGGTTAAATGCCAAGTGCTGGTGAGCTCCCGGGGGAGGGGAGACGTCCGCCGGGGCTGTGAGGTCCGCGCTGGAAAGCACCAGGCCTTGGGGCCACGGGGATCGGGGCAGCCCTAGGCCAGTGTGCTTGGGTTCCCAAGTGGGCCAGAGAACCCTGGTGGCGATTGTTTTATTTTTAAAGTCCGGAATGTTGTTTCCAAGGCACAGCTTGAGTTAAAATTCTTAAAACTGAACTTGGACTTGACTGAAAACGCTCCCTCCCTGCAAAGTGGGATGGGGATGTATCCAGGGAAGATTTCAGCTTTCTCTTGGGGGAAGGTGTTATGGTAAGGAATGGGGATGGGAGGGGAAGAAACACCCTAACGTCCTTGAAAAATTGGATCCTCTGCTTTAGAAAAACTAGATGAGGCCATCGGATATTTACTAATAATAGGCATGCAATTTATTTTCATCCAGTAAGAAAACTGGACACAAACAGTGGGAGACAACAAAAAGTGATCCTTTTGTCATGTAGTTTGTTTCTAAATGCTTACACATGGATACATCTTATTTAAATTATAAATACTTCAAAGGGTCCCACCCAATGCCTTAATCCCAGAACCTCTCAGTCCACAGGCTTGCAAGTGGTGGGGTCCTAGAATCATCTAACTTTACTTTTGATTGTTGTTATGGGTCATGTGGTGCACTCTTAAATCCTTTTTTGAAATATATCAAAGGGAAATTATGGCAAGATTGTCTTTAATGATTGAATAATAAGGTGTTGACTGCTTGTGCTACATTTGCTAATTGGGATGTTCGTTCTAGGCTCTTTTTGCTTAGTATCTTTTGAATTCAAAGTTGGTGGTTGACCAGGTGTTTTATAATTGTTACTTTCCGATTGGCTTTTAGTATGTTTTTACGTGTGAATTTCAGAGTAGGATGTATTGATTCTTAACAGGGGCACATAAAAACATTTTTGAAAAAAAAAAAAGTACAGAGTATGTGCAGATAAATTGAGATCAGTTACGCTGTTAAATATCTCAAAGTCTAAATGCTAATACTACAAAGCTTATTCCCTTTTCCTAGTTCCCTCCTCTCTCTCCCTCTCTCTCTTCCTCTCTCACTGGAAGTCCCCAATGCAAGTTCCATGGTTATTGGAAAGCAATGATACTAATGCTACTTTGTACAAAGTAAAGCCCCATAACAGTAACTATTGTTCAGTGATTTAACTAGCTCTGTGGCAGTAGGTCACTCAAATAGCAATCCCTCTCCCACGAGAATGACTCCATTGCTCATGATTTGGAAATATATAGAGTGGTTGT